CGATCTAAATATATTTAAGATAATACAAAGGCCTCATTTTTTTCATTCTGATACAATTTTTTTCGAGGTAAAAACGTTAAAAAATATACTTGGCGGATTTTTTACATTTTTAATGTCTTTTCCACGGTTTCGAACTTTGTCTACAACCCTGTTCAAAAATTTACTTTAAAATTTTTTTTTTTAACATATTATTTTTAGAGTTTACTTTGTGTTTACTATTCCGCATATTCTATTTTATTAAATACAATTTATACGCGTTTATAATTTGTGAAAACATCGAAATTTGAACCTGGGATCCCTAGAACTGCAGACTTGTACGCTAACGCTGAGCTAATGATACTTTGTACAAAGGACTTATTCTTTCTATTATATATTCTACATATATCTCTCGTGTTTAAACAAATAGCCAATTTTAACAGTGGCGAGATACGAACGCTGGTATTCAGCGGTATTTAGTCGGACGGATACGCGTTTATTCACCAATCTTTAAAAATTAATATCTTGTTAACGATTGCGAATTTTGCAAAATGGTATAAGACTTTTCTGTTTAATTTAATCTGCTCTAGCAGCTCACAAGATTTGATATTTTATTACCGGACACCCTGTATGTAGAAATTCAATTTTAAACTGATCGAGCAATCTGGACTACATTCGGAAAAATATTTTTGTTTTATATTATCTATAGTGTTTAAAAATATAGATGTAAAATAAAAATAAAATGACAAAAAAGCGCTAATAGCATTTCTTTAAACGTATTCCTGATGCTAAAAATTAGAATAAATCTATCATATTTGTAATATATTTTATATGTATCAGTAGTATAACATTTGTTAAATTGCTGAAAGATTACAATTGTTCTATCTATGTTATGTATTTTGAGTTACGTGTGAGTTCCATTACATTTTTAAGTAATTGTTATGTATTACATACGTAACAAAGAACTATATCTTTGTTCTTCTAAAGTGCCCTCAAAATTATATTGCATATCATCTCTATAACCCTGAAATATATCATTGTTCTTTCTATGTGCTCCCTTAGTTATATTACAGTTACGTATTGGTTTGCTGGGTATTTTTTTAATATCAGGGGGAGCCGTGTCGTGGACATCGCAGGGTCAAAGTATGGTCTCATTAAGCACAACTGAGGCAGAATACATCGCAGCGAGTGCAGCTAGTAAAGAAATAGTATGACTACGGCAATTATTGGGTGATATCGATTGTCGATTATTGGGTGATATCGATTGTCAATTATCAGTCTTATTTGTAGACAATCAAAGTACAATAAAATCGATTAAGAATCCAAAATTTCATAAAAGAACGAAACAAATCGACATTCGATTTCATTTTATAAGAGAAAAATTTATCAGCGGCGAATTGATCAAATATGTCAGTACGAATGAGCAATGTGCCAATTTCTTGACAAAAGCATTGAATGCAGATAGATTAAATACATTGTTAAGAACGATTGGAATGCATGAGTCACAAGATATCAATATTATTTTTAAAAAATAGAATATTTGAATAGTGGAAGTATTGAGTATTATATTTTGCATGTCTAGTTCTTTATGTTATGTTCCGCAAAGTATGTATTTCTTAAGGTTGTAAAAGCATAATGTTATGTACGCGCCCTAATGTTGCGATGCGAGCGCGGTCCTAATAAGCGTGAGTTTCCGTTATTGAAATTTCCTTTCTTTTTTGTTCATTCACTGCTCTACCCGCTGCGCTTTCGGACTCTTGCTTTTCGCGCCCATTTACACTACACGCAGATTTGATTCAGTTTGCTTTATAATTGTCAAGAATCATTAATAAAAAGATATTTATTCTCTACAACGGAATAATTGTTTTTGGATATCTTCTTTCGTTGCTGGATTTTCTTGGAATCGTCCAAGAAAGATAATTGTAATAGATATATCGATGTAAAAGTTAAAATGTATACATAATATAATGTAACTTGCCGGATGTCAAACCTTGAGAAAGGATGAAGGCACAGGTAATATCGAAACATATTTTTATAAAAACAAAGAGAAAGTCGCAGATATGGCTCGATAAAATGATAAAACTATTGCTTTCTTCTGTCAAAGTGTATCCCAAAGTTATGTGTATCCCGTATTTCCCAAAGACTATTTTAGCTATAATTTTCGGATTTAGCAAGTAAAATTAAGTAAAAAAAAAGATGAATATGACAATTCTTGCGTGCTTCCTAAATCGCCTAAAATGCATAAACTCCTTTGAAATAATTGATGAAATAATTAATGAGATGTTATTTAATAACAGTCCAATGAATAAGTACCCAAAAAGACAGCTCAAAACAGTATATAATGTTTGCTATTACTAGGAGCACGACAAAATGTTTGGAAATGTACCTACTCTAGAAATGGGTACGCAGAAGCGGTGCTTAACTAAATTGCCTCATTCATTCATAGCACACTTCTAAACATCTTGTTAGACTTTTACAATAGAAATCGTAAATATCTCAGCAAACACAGTGTTACGTCCGGACCCCAGGATATTTAATTCGATAGTTTGAGTGCGAGAGTAAATCCCGTGTGCGAACGAGATGGGACTGGAAGTGGAGGGGGTAAGGAATGACGCAACTAGATGAGCTGTCTCGCAGGTACGCGCCGAGGCGGACGATGCGAGTCGAAGGCGCTTTTGCAAGGGTTCGAAAACGA